GTTCGATTTCATTATTTTGATGAGCATTTGATTTCACCATGATGCCTCACAATTTTCTTCAGATCTAAATTTTCAGTCTGGTTTCCCAGTAGGTCTGTGATTTTTGCAGTATGTTGTACAGAGTTGTCAAAGTTTGAAATAGACCTGATGGTTTTTTTTTTTACAAAACGATGGATGGCTGAAGGAGAACAGCTTAACTGCTTTGAACAAATAAAGCATTCTCACTTACTTAATGGTTAAGTGGTGTTTTAATACATGTTTATTTTTCTACACATATGGAATACATTATGTGTCAGAATTTGAATGATTTTATTTCTGTGCACCACTTTCTAACTGCTGTGTAAATTCTGAAAAGTTTGATTTGTGTAAAGTTTGAAACCAAAACTTGCTGTGAAGAATAATAAAACAAATTGTCAGAGGGTGCAGGTATTGTAGAAGAGTCAGGCAAGTCAGCATGTCCCTCTTTTGTCATGCATTTGTGCTGAAACCAAATGAAGGATCTTTCTTGTCCCACAGGTATACAGATAATATGTCACAGTACGGAGGACCACCCTCTGGGGCCCCTCCCTACCCCCAAAGTCAAGGTACACCATATCCTGCTCAAGGTCAGGGGTCGGCACCATACCCTGCTCAAGGTCAGGGTTCAGCACCATACCCTGCCCAAGGTCAAGGGTCAGCACCATACCCTGCCCAAGGTCAAGGGTCAGCGCCATATCCTCCTCAAGGTCAAGGGTCAGCACCATACCCTGCCCAAGGTCAAGGCCACTCCCCATACCCATCACAGGATGCATTCCCTCAGCTGCAGACACCAGGGCAAGCAGCAGGTAGGGGAATGCTTCAAAGTACCTTCAGTTCTCTTTTGGTGTCTCTATCAAGATCAAGGATCAGTTTATGTTTAAGGAGTGTCGGAATGTGGAAGCTGTTTGATATTTTCTTATTTTTTGGGGATATATTTTGTTGGTTAGTGAAACATTGGAGACTGATTTAGCCAAGAGCTATCTTTGAGGTGTATACATCTATTATTTTTTTTGGGAAAAAGTATTATTGGTGTGCAAATCAGAGGTCTTAGTTGTAGCACATTATAGGAATTCATTAAGTCAGTAGGTTGAATGAAAATAGGCAGTAAAAAGTAATTACTTGTATGTTCTTTTAACCGCTTTATCTCAGGCAAGCCGCTCCCAGTGGCTCGTGGTTGGAACCACTGTGCCAGTGAGCTGGTCAGTAGCTCGGTTACATTCCTTTACGACGACTTCGACATCAATTTACTTTTCGCAAATTGCTGAAAACAGGTCTCTTACACCGGAAGTTCATTCATTAGATGAAAAACTATCTAAATGGGTTTGCTAGTTGTGATTTTATGACCCATTTAATGACGTTTTTGTAATTTTTAGATTTAGCATAAAAAAGGCCCTGACGTAGTGGGTTTTCCCCCCTGGGAGATAAAGAGTTTAGGCCCAATGAAAGTTCTTTCTTTGTGGTCTATTCTTCCTATCAGTGTTCAAAACTTTAAAAAAAATTTCTGCTTTTAATGATGATTATGTAAAAGGATTCAAATTATTTATCTCCCTCACTCACTATCTTTCCCTCTTTTGCTCCTCCTCTCTCTCCTTCACTTCCCTGATTATCTATACATCCTCTCTCACTCTCTTACTTGGATCTCTCCTCACCCCTTGCCTTCCCCATTTCTTTTATATTCACCTCCCCCCTTCCTGTCTCATCCCTCCTCCTCCTCTCTCTCTCTCTCTCTCTCTCTCTCTCTCTCTCTCTCTCTCTCTCTCTCTCTCTCTCTCTCTCTCTTTT